TGGCTGGCGCCCGAACCGGCCGTGGGATCTTGGCCGGCTTCAGCTTCGCCTTCTCGAGGCCAAGGAAAACTCCCGAGTGCCTTCGCTGGTAAACTCGGGTGCTGGCTTCACGCGAAAGGTGCCGGTTCCTTTTCTTTCCTTGGCAGATCGAAATCTTTCCGGGGGCCTCAACAGCAGGATGGACGCACAGGCAGCACCGTCCCGGTGGTTTTGTGCCACGGCGGCGTTCCCTGCAACACACCTCCTTTGGGAAAGGTTCTCCCTGTCCCCGTCCCCTGCCAGCTCCCGCAGGAGAAGGCTCCTGGAGCGTCCCCAGCAGCGGGGACAGATGGAGTGGGATGGATCCTGGGGCTCGGGCGGGTGAGAACAGCCGGACAGACAGACGCCTGCCAGACGCCAGCTCACGTTGTTCCTGCTGTGCTTCCAGCCCCAGCGCCCGCCCGGTCAGTGTGTGAGCGGTGAGAGGGTCCTGCAGGGCCTTATTCAACTCTCCTGCTCATCCCAGCCCAGAAAGCCACCAGGATTCAGGAGCACGGGTGCCGTGAGCTCTCCCAACCGACTCAGCACACCCAAACCCAACCCCATCCCTGGGGTCAGCGGGCATAGCCCCCCCCCTCACCAAATAGCCACACCACGAGCTTTTTAAACCTTCATTAAACCCGCTTAACCGCCCTGCCCAGCAGGTTCCTTGGTGCTAATTGAGCTAAAAAGGGGAGCAAAGTGTGGCTGCTTCCATCCACCCCAGCACCAGGCACTGGGAGCGGGGCTGGGGAGGACCCAGGACCACGCTGGCTGCTGGTCTGGGGCAGAAGAGCAGAGCAGAGGGCAGGGCAGAGCTGCTCAGCGTTGCAAACCCTCCAGTTCTTCAGCAAAGCACCTAAAAATAGCCGGGGGCAGAGGCCAGAGCCGCTCCTGCAGCAAGCGCAGAGCAGCCACCAGTAATCCCTCTCCTACAGCATCGTTTTCTTCCAAGGCTCAGAGCAGGACAATGCCTGAAGAGGGGAACAGCTGCTGGAGGAGATAATGGACTCCTTCTGAGGCCTTTTGATTTTCTAATAACTTTTATTCAAACAGTGAATTAATACTGACCGCCCGGCTTTGACACTAATGAGTCAGCTATGCCCTCCAGCCGAGGACACCAGAAGTTAGAAGAGCTCCAACCCCCAAATCTCCTCCCAGCAGCCTCCGGGGGGCTGGTTTAAGCAAGGAACAGGGACTGAAGCAACGGGCCACGGCTGCAGCAACACCTTCCACCAAGGGTTGGGGCTCAGCGCAGGAACGGGGGCTCGAGGAGGAAAACCAAAATAACCCCCCGCCCCAGAAGCG